GGAAAACTTTTAACTGTTGGTCTTCGATTTTGAAAGAACTCCGACTCCTGGTGAAAAGTAATCGGACACTTTTTAGTCGTTTCAACTCGAGATCCAAAAAAAATAATTTGATGATAAAGATAAAGATCGACGAATAAAATTTCATTCAACACCAATCGAATAAAAATTTGTCCAGTTAAAAATTTGTTCGAGTAAGATTTTACTCGACGCCATCGAATAAATACCACAATCGAATAAACAATTATTTAGATCGAAATTTATCCGAATAGTATTATTTTACTCGAATAAGAATTCATGCCAATAAGATTCTATTCGAATTAGAATTTACTCGTGCAGGAATTCGTACGGGAAATAATCGCTTTGAATAAAAATGACAGAATATAAAGTGTTCCTCCATAGTTGATCGATTTATTTCTTCTACGTTACTTTCTCGAATATACTCGAACTTCTCGAATTCTTCGAATAAAAAGATTATCCGAATAAGCAGAATAATCTACGACGAATAATAATAATATATAATATTCTATATAATATAATATATAATATATAATATTCAAGCAAATAATCATTCGACACATAAAATAATCAACGACGAATGAAACATTAATCCGAGCGAATGACTAATTATCCGATCGAAATATTCAACTGAAAATAAACCGTTCGGTCAATTATTTATTCGAAACAATGCCGCGTAATGCCCGACTCTGGCCCGCGACGCATCCTCTCCACCAAAGGTCCCACGCGGGACGCGGAAAAACTTGGAGGGAAGTTCCCAGGTTTTCGCTCGATCGTCGCAAATGCTTGTCGGTTCCTATTCGACGAAGGCAGAGGAGAGTCTGTCGCGGTTGTCGGCGGCGGTTCCTGGTCGGTTTGTCGGGTCGTTTAAGCGTTCCCACGGGGCCGGGACGCGGCGACAACGATGGACAGGAGCGTGGAAATCCAGTGTCCGCGAGCATCATCGATTCCCCGGAACCGGAAGCGAGGTGTCTTCGGGATCTCACGGTCGAGACAGCGCCGTTCGCGATCGCGGCTCGCCGCCGCGGCAGCGACGTTCCCGACGAGTTCGACGACCAGCTGGGAAACGGGCGACGCGACGCGCGCTTTCCAACGTTGCGGAATCGTTCCGACGCGCTGCGAACTTCCTGATGGGACTGCGACGAGACCGTTTCGACGAACTCGTAGGCCACCAACGCGGATGCAGTAAACCTCGTTTAAGCTTCTCTAACCAGCTAAATCCAGGGCTGAATCCCGGCTTGGCCGTCGTGTTTGCGCGGCTCCCAAAGTCCTTCGTGCAGGACCGACAGCACGAACCTTTGCGGAGAGGACGCGCGTCGAGGGACAACGTCGCCGCTTCCGCACACGCGCTCGCGGCGTTTCGCGACGATTCCGCTTTTCGGAAAAATTACCGTTTTCGTTCGCTTCGTAATGGGATCTTACGGGCGACGCGCGCGAGCTATTTTCTTGCCATTTTGCTGCTTTCGATGGAAACGGAGGAGTCTCGTTTTCTTATTCTTTATTTATTCGCGGATAAAATCTGTGGTATAGTTATATATAATTTGCGATATCTAGTCTAGTAGTCTATTGTAACGCGAAATTTATAATTTTATTATATTCTGGTGATACTTTTTTATTTGCTTATTTATTCATGCTTTAAACCGGATGGTATGTTTCATGCGATTGCGTAGAATTATTTTCACAATTTTTATTATTTTTACAATTTCTATTGATACTGTATACTTACAGTTTTATTTTATTTATGCGAACAATTTTCTAATTTTATGTCGGCCGCCGTGCTCTTACGGTTTCATTTTATTCATGTGATCGTGCATTTTTATCATTTTATTTATAGCATGGTCTCTATAATATTAGAATTGTAGCAGAATTTTATTTTATTTATGCGAACATTTTTATAATTTTATGTGAATTTTTGCAATTCTTTGGTTCAATTTGTACAGTAGCCATATGTAACAATTGGATCGTTCCTCTTTCTCTTTCACCGCACTCACCCTCGCTTCCACTACACACCCTCTTGCTGTCTCCTCTTGCCTGTCGATGATAAAGAAAACGTTTGTAAACTGTAATTCACCGCAAGCTGCATTTAACCCCGAATAATTCACGATGGGTCAACGTTGGCCCCGCCGATTGGCAATTTCCGACCTGCATAGTTGAATAAGAGATAGGGGGTGAAGAAAAGGACAAGGAGAGAGAGAGAGAGAGAGAGAGAGAGAGAGAGAGAGGAGTGACAACGTAAGCCACCAAAAACTATTTCGCATTTACAGTCAAAATGGCGTCGAGCGCCAAAATCCGCGTAAATCGGCGCTCCGCAATTTCAGTTGTGCTCTCACCAAAGAAAACTTCTGGTACGAAGAACGCGGGTCACGAGACTTCTAAAATGCGCGTGGCGATTCCGATCGATCGGCGGGTCAGCCTTTCGCGAACGGTTCTCGCCGGGCGTCTGGCCGAACGGCGATAATCGGCGGAGGCAATCGGGGGAAAAAGACAGTCGCGTTTTATCGCAAAGAGGTTCGGTAGAATTTAATCCCGCGAACGTAGGACCCGTGGCGGAGGGAGGGAGGGTGGAAGACGGAGAAAGGTTTAAACGAGTCGCGCCGGGCACACGGCGGGTCTGCGCCGAGCTCGCGGAGCGCACCCCGGCTTCTCGAAATCTTCGGAAATCCAGCCATTCGTTTTTGGCCCGACAACACAATGCCGGCAAGTGGGTATATATACCCGAGGCTTTGTCGAAGAACGAGAAACGAGGGAGAAGAAAATGCCGCCTTTCGACCCACTTCCAATCCTATTTTCGTTCCCCCTTCCCGCGCCGCGTCCCGATCGGCTCTCGCTCCTCTTCCATTAGCCGATTGTATTTCGAGGCGAATAAGTCTCACCTGAAAATCCTTGCGCCCCTAATTGAATACCCTCTTCGCCGGCGGGGCCGCGCGGAACAACCCTCGAATAAACGAATCGGCGCGAGTGCACGATCTAATCGCGAAGCCCGCGCGCGGCCGACGATCATTCCGATCGGTGAGCTCGATGACGTTCGATCGTGCCGTTTCTCATATCCGCGCAATCTGCACTGCTTTCACAGAGATCCGTGGACCATGGAGACGTTCGTCAAATTGAATAAACTGTTTTTAAGAGACGCTCCGGCGGCAAATGCGTTGCCGTTCGAGCCTTGTGCAGTTTTCAGGACCATTTCGATATTGATAATCCTTTGCGCTCGAACGATGACTCCGAGGCGCGGTTAAAAATTGTTCGGGTTTCAAAAGAATTTCTTCCTATTTAGGAGACTTTAACAGACGCTCCGACGGCAAATGCGTTGCCGTTCGAGCCCTGTGCAGTTTTCTGGAATATTTCGATTCTGATAATCCTTTGCGCTCGAACGATGACTCCGAGGCGCCGTTAAAAATTGTTCGGGTTTCAAAAGAATTTCTTCCTATTTAGGAGACTTTAACAGACGCTCCGACGGCAAATGCGTTGCCGTTCGAGCCCTGTGCAGTTTTCTGGAATATTTCGATTCTGATAATCCTTTGCACTCGAACGATGACTCCGAGGCGCCGTTAAAAATTGTTCGGGTTTCAAAATAATTTCATCCTATTTAGGAGACTTTAACAGATGCTCCGACGGCAAACGCGTCGTCGTTCGATCCCTGTGCAGTTTTCAGGACCATTTCGATTTTGATAATCCTTTGCGCTCGAACGATGACTCCGAGGCGCGGTTAAAAATTGTTAGATCGCGTTTCAAAATAATTTCTTTCTATTTAGGAGACTGATAAAAGCGTAGCTGGTTCCAAGACTCAATTTCAAGTGCATAAAATGCACCGAGTCGTATGAAATGGAAATGCTGTCGGTCAGAGAAACTATTTTGGATTTAGACTTAAAACGACACCGATTGCACGGTCGGGTGAATAATTTGACGGATGAAAAATAGTAAATCAATATTTCAGAATCCTCTTAATACTATTACTATTTTCAATTACATCAATTATTCCATAAACATATAAAATTCTCGGGTATTTGTAACCCAAAATGAATCCAAGTCAAATTGACGCGAGAATTGCTTGCTGGCCAGATTTATCATCAAGATAATTTAGAATTAAGTTAATATATATTAATATATAAATATTTAATATAATATTTACATTTATATTATAGCGACTTCATAATTCATTTCATTTCTATTTTGGACAGTTTGGTATATGCAGATCACATTTAAAGGATAAATAATAAATCAGAATTTTCGAAAATATCACTCACCACGATCTAAAAAACCACCCTAAGTTCCATCTTGAAGAATCGCCGCTCTCACGATAATGAGAAACGCGCGCGCATTTGGCGTTCCCGCTCGCGAAGTCCGCACGCGACTCGCGGGATACGCGCGAGCGGAAATCGCGGCTAGCTCGTTCCGATCTTTTTTTTCCTTTTTTCTTTTTTCGAGGCTCGGTCCAACGAACTGTCGGAATTAGCGTTATTTCACCATCTCCATTAGCAGATTGCGTTTCAAAGCGCGCGAGCATCGCCGCAGACTTTTTCACTCGTCCCGGCTTGCCTGCACTCGAATTTGATTCCGAAATTCCTGACGCGCGGGCCCGCGCACGACCATAGAATAACTCGAGCGGTAAGCGAGCAGCCCCTTTTTTCCGATTCGAAATGCGCACCAGGGAAAATTAACGGGACGGCCCGTAAATTCGCGAGCCGATTTTCCGACCGGCGAACGACCCTCGATGAACGACCGTATCGAATCGATAGCCTTTCTCCTCGACGATTGAGATTTTTAACATGGCCGCGTAATCGAGGGGCCCGAATCGTTGTTTATTACCTGCGTGCTATCTACGATTTTGTTCGAATTTTTGTCTCGACCTTATCGGCCGAAATTTCGAATTATTTCTCCCCGTTAATAAATAAATAAATAATAATAATAATAATAATAATAATAAAATAATAAATAGTATAATATTAATATTATTGTAATATTAATACGCGGAAATGAGTGTACCAATATTCCTGATTTCATCTTATCATCTTTATCTATCCACTTTTGCTATAAATGCATAAAATCCGCAGTCCGTTGATCGTGTTTTGACCTCGCAAGCCGGTAGCTGGGTGAATTTTGATTCCGTGTATTCAAATCGTTCGCTTAATGACCGGCAATTAAATAAAATAAATTGCTGTTACATTAGGAAGAACAGAAAGAAACAGAAACATCTTTGAGAATATGTTTTGAAAAATTGTCGAATAAAGCTCAGAATTGTTCTAAACAATAAAATCATGAACAAAACACTGAAGTTGTGTGAATGGTCCTCGAGCACCTCGGATTCGAATGCTTGGCGCTGAAACGAGCGTCGTACGGTGAGCGAAATTCGTGGAAACGCGCCCGAAGAAACGCGACTTTTTAGGCTGAAGATTGCAAATTCGAATAAAGCGAATATTCTGCGGCTATTTGTACCGTAATCAACCGCGAGCTTTAACGTACAAGAGGCGAATATGTCGCTCTTAACAGATTGAACTTTGTTAGCAGCAGTTTTAATTAACATGTCACGTTTATAAATTAAACTATGCTGATGCAGTGCCGGAAAGCTCTTTGCTGTGTATTCAGCGGTGCTTATTATACGACGACGTTGACTGATTTTGTTAATACAAAAAGTCCAGTGGAACGTGGCTGCAGATTTTAAAACTCTTTCCCGTTTCCTCGGGTTCGCGTAACTTTCCAAGAAGTTTCGAGGAGCACTCTTTTATTTTGCAATACTTCTGAAACAACTGCCTAAAGATTGCCTCAATAACGATACCCAAAGATGCTCAAGATCCACAGATGGATAATACATCTATTCATTTTTGTGTAATCCGATAGGTGATCGTCAGCCATTGTTCTCCATGTCGGAAAATTATTATCTTTTCTCATGAGTTTCTCTTTTCTTGTTCCAAGTTCTTATATTCTAACTGTACTTGAGTGGCTGCCACGTTGTTATTATTTTCTCTCACTGTAACAAAGAGCTTATATATTAATAAATAGAGTTATTTCAGTTGTCAGTTATTAACACGTTCACGATTTTATATTTCACGTTTATATTATATATATATTATTATTATTCTTATTACTGTTATATATATATAATAATAATAATAATAATAATAATAATAATAATAATATATAATATAAACGTGAAATATGAAATCGTGAACGTTAACACGTAATAACTGACAACTGAAATAACTTTATTATATAATATAATTACATATATAATTTATATATAATAATATATAATATATAATATATAATATATATATATTTAAGAATATAATGATGTAATATTGTAATTATGTAATATAGCGCGATATTCGGAGAATTTGCAGCCCCTCTTCGACAACATTTTTGTCATATTTCATAAGACGATACGATGCATTCAATTGATTAATTTATTCTCGAAAGATAACCAAGATAATCGAAATGATCGCGACAAATGGACGAAGCTCGACTGAAATCCAGAAAAATCAAGACAATACACACGCAAAAAGACTCGAAGAGAATCGAAAGAAATCGCATTAAATCGCAATAGCGTAAAGCATAACCTATTTCTACGTACGCGACTTTCCCGAAAGAAGTTCTTCGTCTCCGAACGGCGGAACCGGCTCTTGGAAAATGGCCACGCCGAGAAACCGGGCAAGAGAAGCCCGCGTAAAAAGTGGCGCATGCTCGTTACAGCGTTTCAGCGGCGATCGTTTCGTTGGCGGGATCGTAATTGGTCCTCGGAGACTCGGCGGTCGGTTCTCGGCTGCGATCGGGGATGATAATTCTTCCCCGAACAGGAATAATCCGGCCGGCTGCATTATGGAAGTTTTAATTGTCTGTCTCGGGCGATCGTGCTGCGAGCGATGTAACGTGGCAACTTCAACCGACCAATTTCGAACAATCAACGTCGACATAATATAACAATTATAACTATAACTATTCGGCGGGACGGGAGCGGCGGAAGCGGACGCCCGAGGCGATCGAGACTGCGCTGGGTCGTCTCGGGTCGAGTCGTTGCGGCTCGGTTCGAGTCGTTCCGGGTCGTTCCGGGTCGTTCCGGGTCGGTGGCGGTCGGGCGCGCTCGGGAACGGTCGGACGCGCGAGCCCCGGCGAACGGCGCACGACGCGCCGCGCTGTTTTGTGCAGAAACAAACAAAAGCCCGAGGAAAAAGCAATTCGCTTTTTTCTGGTAACGGCGACACCTACGATGCGATCCGCAGCCCGTCGCTGTTCCGTTTAATTTCAGAGGCTGTTACCCTGCCGATGCTTCCCACCAGCATCGATCCGCGCCACAATGGGAAAAGCGCGAAGAATCGCAAGAATAGCCGCACGCCGATCCGTTCGGTTCGCCCGAATACGCCGAGTGGTGGGGGAACTTTGGCTTGGTACCCGGAATCCGTTAGAGACGCGGCGCACGCGAATCCGATCCGATTCTTTTCAATCGGCCGGAATCGATATCCCGGTGAAACAAGCCCGACTAATTTCGGTGAAAATCCCGCGACAGCCCTCGTCGGCCGGGAAAATTAAATAAACGACTCGGTGACGGGCCCCGGGTTATTTTCAAACAAATCGCTCGCAGGCGGTCGCGCCCGAACAAAAACGTGACGGCGCGCCGACAAGGAATAGAATTCCTCAACGGCCGATTTTACAGCGCTCGATTGTTTACGTCTGCTGTCCCGTCACCGGTGCCGTTTCGACCTTTCGAATCACAATCATTTCATTAACGCTGCGACTGCGAACGGGAATCAAAATACATTCGTTCGGCATTTCGCGCGATCGTTGCTCGTTCTCGGTACATTTGTGTTTGCGACTTCTACTAGAATATGTAAACGATTATTAGTTATGTAAAAACAGTTTTCCTTTTTTGTTCTCGTCTTTCTGTTGTGTACACTTTTTTATGCATTGGATTGGAAACACATAGGGAGCGTTGTTGATGTTGTTGTTGTTTCGAAACCGAAATTACTTTCTTGCAACACAACACAATCGTGTACCTGATTGTACTTATATTTGTAATAAAGTTATATTTGTTTACAGTTATATTTGTGCAGTCACCGTTGGTAGGTAGCATCTCCAACGAAATGGAAAATTTCAAGTAAAATATTAAATTGTACGACTACGAGGAACTTCAAGTTTTTGTGGTGAGTTAAAATACATCCCACTATACATGAAAAGCTAAGCAACAGGTGGGACAGTTTTTAACCCCCGCCTAATCAGGAAGATTTAATAATAGGTAAGCTACGGATTTTACGCATTTATCCCAAAAGTGAGTAATATAAAATTGTGAAGACACATTGAAGAATTTGACAATGCTGTTATACTGTTTACGAATTAACAAAATTATTTATCACGTTCACTGCCAACCATGAGTTATCTCTGTTGAAGGTTCATTACTAACAAAAAGAAGAGGATCTATTTATTAGTATTTACTTATTCTTATTATTTTTACTTATTATTACTCACTTATTATTATCATTATTATTATTATTACTATTATTACTATTTCACTACTACTACTTTTATTACTATTATTATCATTATTACTATTTTACTACTACTACTTTTATTACTATTATTACTATTATTACTATTATTACTATTTTACTACTACTACTTTTATTACTATTATTATTA